CCAATTAAAAGTAGACTTCATACGGCATCCAGATTTTACTGCCGTCGATCCTCACATAATTGCAGGTGGGAACAAGTATTCGCCGTGGTTCGATGTAAGTTACGAATTTATACATAAATTTTTTTCTCTACTTCATAATTTTAGTTATTTTTTATCTCACAATGAGTTTAACTATATCATTGCATAACAACGTATGTAAGTTTGTTAATTTGAAGGATTGTGTTGGAGCACTAGATGGTACGCACGTTCCATGTGTGCCTCCCCGTGAAACGGCCAAACTTTACAGAAATAGAAAGGGATTCTTCTCGCTTAATGTGCTTGCAGTTTGCTCATTTGATATGAGATTTACGTACATGCTATCTGGATGGGAGGGTTCAGCACATGATGCGAGAGTACTTGCGTCCGCGTTAGATCACCCACGGAAACGATTTCCGATTCCGCCACCAGGTAAGTGAGAAAAACGCCTATATGTACATCTACACGTAATTCAGAAACTGCATCTAGATTATAAGTGTTGATTGTGATTACTTAAATACATGTAGGAAAATTCTACCTCGTCGACTCAGGCTACGCAAACAACGAATGTTTCATGGCACCATATCGGGGAACAACATACCATTTGCAAGAGTATAGGAATCGACGGGGTAGAGGCTTCCGCAGTGAACGTGAATTGTTTAACTACACGCACTCCTCCCTGCGTAATGTAATCGAAAGAAAATTTAGTGTGTGGAAGACCAGATTTCATATTTTGAAAACCATTAACCGTTACCCTATTGAAAAGCAAGTTAAGGTTTCGGTTGCATGTGCTATAATTCATAATTTTATCCATATGTACCGTAATGGAGATAGACTATTAGATCAGTACTCACAGGATGGCGTTCTGGTTGTTGACATTGATCCACAGAATGTTGAAGAGGATATCAATGACAATAACAACCACGAAGGACAACCATTAAATAATGAACCGGAACTGGAGATGAATGCGTTAAGGGATGCAAGAGCACATACAATGTGGGCAGTGTACCGTAATCGTCGTACGGGCTAATAATAGTGTATGGAGAATTGCGATATTAATTATGTATATATTTGTGACTATTTACGAGACCATTTATAATGGAAACTCATCTTCTAGTAATTTTTTATATGGTATTTTAATTTATTAAATGAAGAAAATGACTACATTGTTTTTAAATTTATTACTACTTACAGATGATTTAGTTTTATTTGTTCAAATTAAATTACATAAAATCAATTAAATGAAAGAAAAAAAAATTTCAGGATACTATTCACAACTCAAGAATTAGTTGAAACAAACACAAACTCAAGTAAATTCTAATCTCAAATTATAATTCAAATTTACACAACCAAATACAAACTCAAGTTATAACTACAACTCAACTCAAAATTTACACTCAAATTACATAACTCAAAAATGCCAAAAGAACAGGCCCTAAGTAGGCTTGCAAAGATAAAAATGGGCAAAAGTATAAAGCACACAAAAACTCATTCATTGATAATACTATTCATGTCATCAAGTTTTAAATTAAAAATTGAAATCTATTATTCACTGCCACTAGTTATTTGAGGCTATTGTCAGATTCTGTGCGTTTCTATCATTAATTGTTAGGATGACAATGAAGCACATGCATGAATAAAGAAGATTTGTTTATTTGTCTACTATTTTTTTAAAGAAAATATTTGTTTAGTTGGACCAAACAAAATATATGGGCGTGTGATTCAGATAATGTGAAATGACAGTTCTTGGAGATCTGCTCGAGATTAAGAGCATTGCTTGGCTGAAAAGCTTTAAAACAAAATATGATCAATAAACTCACAAAAAAGAGGACAAATTAACTCTACAAGTCAATGGTGCTAGGTGAGACAATTGGACATAATTAATGAATTATGCATTAATTGATGAGAGCGAGGGAGTGGATGACTTGCTTCTAATTGGGTGGAATATATGCACTATTGTAAACGTAGATGTGATTGTATAAAAAATTAGAAGGATGGCATGCAATTGGCCATTTATTTAAAGCAAAGATTGATGAGCTAAAGCTTTTAAGCAAATTATTATGCTTTTCCCTTTTTACAATGCTTCAGATTATCTTATTGGGTACATAGTTTTTGTGTTATTTCCTTGCACAATTTTATTGTCAAACTAGTTGTTTGCTCAATTTTTTTTCCCCATGAGTTTTGGTATTCAAACTTACGACTTTCGTACTATGGGTCCTTTGGTCTTTCCTCGATTGGAATTCTCCACAAATTGTAGAGGTAATATGTTAAAAGAGTTATTTGTGTACTCAATTATTGGTGTGTTCTTTTAGATTCTCATTTATGTGTTTCATTAGAACTTACTTATCGATCTAGTTCAAATCGTGATTAAATTTTGTATGTTATAAGTTCAATCGATTTAGTATTAGTGTGTGTATCTCTTTAATTCGGAATGTAATTACCTTAAAAAAAAAAAGACTGCAACATTGATGGTTTGTGTGGAATTACTGCAAAGCTAATTCTACCACAACATCCTTTGAAAAGATCAACGAGACTTCCATTACTGGGACAAAATGTTACCGAAAAAGTGTAATAAAGTAGAACTTGTTTTTGTTATGCTTGTTGGTTCGTTGGCGATCCCCACAAGGGAGAGCCCCAAATCCATTTTTTTTGGTGCACCAAACTAATTTCATGTTACTGTTCCTAGGAAGTACAAATACGTAACTTAACAATGTATAAAGATATATCTCTCTCTAAACAAATACCTATAAAGTCTTGTTGCATGTTGCAGCATAAGCAAATCGATATCTAATCTTTTAATTAAAAAAAAAATCGATCTCTAATTTGATATGTACCTACCTAATGATGCGATTTGACTAGTTTATTGGTTTCTAAATTACATGTGGCAGCATTGAAGTTACTCATACGTATTCAGTAGACATCCTTTTGATAGGCATGCTAAACTTGGAAGAGTTTAGAATTTACGCTGTAATAATTAGATGCACATATGAGAATTTAAAACTGTATAGAGGTTTTAATGTGTGGTGTGGAGAGTGGACCAGTGGCTTTTATCTTTTGATTTGTCTTGCGGTGAAAGGAACAAACGTGCGTGGCATGCTTACTTTTACTCTTTGTTGCCACCGACACTCTTAAAATAGTGTAAATATGAACTTAAAGCACTAAATAAATAGAAAAATGATGTTAAAGGGCGAAAAAGAAAAAGAAAAGTGGCAAAATTGGTGTCCAAAGCCAAAGGATCTAGTATGATGATTGCTTTGAAATCTATCTCCCAAATCCACATCAGCAACCAGTTTGTTGTGGAGCTTCACGTGCAGCAAATAACCCAAAATTTGATTGAACAAATTAGACCCCACCATTTCCCTTTCTAAAGTTTTTCCATTTTCACCAAAATGTCCTTATTCAAAATCCACTTCATTCACATTGCTAACATTAAACTGTATCATCATACTCAAAAGTGGTAAATTTTATGAACTAATGAGTTGGAAAAACATATCTAAATTTTTAATATAATGTAATTATTATCAAATAATGAGAAATTGCACATCAAGTCACTATCAATATTCATTTAAACTTCTAAATTTTAGTCGTTTACATTAAGTACTAGTTACTATTGTTGTAAATTAGCTGCCTCATTTCTTTGTTGTTTGTTTGTTTTTTTCTTTCTCTTTATCATCACAAGATAATATGAGTGTTTTAAAAAGTGGATCTGAATAGATTCCAGCACGACTATGCTCATCATAATTCCCTGCCATCTCCAAATTACTTTTTTTTTCTCTCTCTTTAAGAATCCAACATTTTTTTTTTAAGAACTAAGGGGTTGACAACATTTAATACATTATGCTCTGTGCTTGTCATTGTTGTAATTGAGGAATTCATTAACTATAAATACAGCTCAATAATCTCTCTTATTAATCAAGTTCTGAAATTAATTTATACCTCGAGTAAACTGACCATTAAAACTAAGTAGAATTCATGGCATTAAAATACAGTAGTCAAACTTAAACCAAAGAAAACTCCAAATAGACAGACAATTACAGTCATCATCCCATTTGTTTATGGTTCCCCAAAGACAAAATCAGCCTTTGGAGCCTCTCTCTCCTTTATTTATTATTAATAATTTTCTTTTATTATTTTTAAAACCCTTTTCATGCTTTACGTGAATAAACAAGAAAGAGACTTTAATTATTTTTAAAAAAATAAGAAAATAGAAATAATGGTTTAATCCATAAAAATTAGGAGTGACAATTTGTGTCATATGCCGTATTTTGATCGTTTTTTTTTAATTTATAGTTAATCCGAACACGACCCGTGACACAAAATTTTTTAAAAATCGCAACACAAACACGACACGATTACTTTAAAGGTTGATACGACACGACACGAAAATGACTCGTGACACGAAATTGACCTGTGAACCTGAACTTGACACGAAAATTGTATACTTTTATTTAGCTTCTTTTACATATTAAAAATAATTTAAAATTCATAACACACTAAAATACAATAACATTCATTAAACTTAAGCAAATAATAATATAAGATTTAGAATATAACTATCATGATATTACAAGTTCATAATAAAATAAAAAAATATGATGAAAAATATATATATATATATATTTTAGTTTTTTATCAATTTTATATCGTGTTCAGATTAGACGAATCTAACTAATAATTACTTTATATTTTTCGTGTCAATTTTAAATCGACTTAATTCTAATTCAAACATCTTTTTTCTTAACTTTAACCTGTAAAATTTATCTCATTTTTAAATCGTACTATCGTACGTTATCTATATTGACGGCCCTAATAAAATCTTTAGCGTGCGTTTATGTTGCTTAACATATTATTCAGAGTTTCTGTTCAAAAAATTGCGAGGAAAAGAAGAAAAATAGTTGTGAGATTGAAATTATTCTTCTGGGTCGCTTTCATTTCGTCTCACTTCGTTGGGATTTTGGGACCCCACAAAGCCGTGTGTGGAGCCTCCAACGATCCTCAACGAGAACAGAAAACGGAGAAGTTTCAAGATAATTATTCAAGATTGGCTGCAAATAGGAAACATCCATGTTTCGTTTTTGGCTTTGTTGATCGCTGAACAAGTAAAACAAACGAGTGGGAAAGGAAGGAAGGAAGGAAGTAAGGAAGGTAAGGGATTTTGGCTTAAAAAGTTGCCATTTTTTATGATAAAGATTTTAGGCTATTGATTTGAGTTTTTTTATTTTCTTTTTATTTTTTTTTTCTTTTGAGGCCCAGATGATGAAAATTCAGTTTTGTAGGATTGTGTTGTGTTTGGTTTGAATTTGCTGATGTGGGTTTTGCTTGAAACGTTACTTGGTGATCCGGGATTTGCTCTTACTTACAAGTGTTGTGTGCTGATCTGTGGTCAGCTTAAAACTTGCTCGTAGTCTCTGTGTTGTCTAAAAGCTGTTACTGTTGTTGTTATAAGGACGCTCTTTGGGCTGAGATTTTTTCATTTGGGAGAAAGTGTTTCGGCGGTGAAGTTTGGTTTTGGTGATGGTGGAATTTCACATTTTTTGAAGTTTTGGAATCTGGGGTTTTCTAAAGTTGGAAACATTGTACTGGGGTTTGGTTAAAGTTGTGGTTGTTTTGACTGATGATGTTGCGAGGGTTTTGTGAATTATACCAGAGCTTGATGCTTTTGGTGCGTGAATTAGATGGGACTAGGGATTGATCCATTGTCCTAATTTGGTTTTTGGACTGATAGTGATTGATGGCAGCTTCATCACCCTCACCAAATTCACCTCCTTTAACCGAGCCACCGCCTCCTAACTCTCCCACAACAACACCACCACCCTCCTCAGGCCCTCCTCCTCCTCCAACACCTGTTGCATCTTCACCATCTTCTCAGCCCAATGCCAATCCGCCTGAAACCACAAACTCAACTGCCAACTCTCCGCCGCCTACGTCCTCTCCTCCTCCAGCCACACCATTGTCACCTCCACCACCACCACCTGTAGAATCAGCACCCCCATTGGCACCATCAGCACCTCCCTCAAATCCACAGTCCCCTCCACCAACATCACCACCGCCACCGCCGCCTTCATCAGATGCCCCACCTCCGTCAACCTCCGGTTCTTCGCCACCACCAGAAACTTCACCTCCACCATCACCACCACCACCTAGTTATACTCCACCAGTGAGTTCACCACCACCACCTAGTTCAACTCCGCCAGTGAGTTCACCTCCACCAGTGAGTTCACCTCCACCGCCGTCATCCAACCCACCTGCAAATTCCCCACCTCCACCATCGCCAAAACCACCCAAAAAATCACCTCCACCACCATCACCAATGGCACCTGAGAGTTCACCCTCGCCCCCAGCATCTTCACCACCGAAAAGTTCACCCCCTCCACCCCCACCACCAAAATCTGTTCCGCCCACAAGTTCTTCTCCACCTTCACCAACATCTATTTCCCCTGAAGAATCACCTCCTCCATCAGCATCAATACCTCCCAGGAATGCACCCCCACCTCCTAGGATTACTCCTCTCGCTCCATCAGGTTCTAATCCAACACCTTCGCCTAAAAAGTCTCCTCCAAAGCAATCACCCCCATCACCTATTATACGCCTATCACCTCCTCCTTCCTCACCTGTGTCCCCCCCACCACCTTCTCGTTCAATCTCACCGTCGGATAATGGAACTTCGAACAATTCTGACCCCAATGTGCCAGGAAGTGCAAACTCCACTGGTGGTAATGGAGGAATTGGTACAGGAGGTGTAGTTGCAATTGGTGTGGTTGCTGGCATAATAGTGCTTAGTCTCATTGGGTTGGTTGTCTGGTGTCTAAGAAAGCAAAGGAAAAAGATTTCAGGCCGTAGTGGTCACATTATGCCATCTCCTCTGGGCTCTTCCCCCAAATCAGGTAAATTTTTGTCATGCAAAATGTATGTTTACCATGTTAGCGGCGTCATCCGCTTCTTCAACGTATATCTTGCTAGTTGCTCAGAAGTAGCTATAGCTGCAGACTTCAATGAAATTGCAGACCTTGCGTGTTGATATCATTGCAAAATGTGTGATAACTGATTATCAAGCACTAATTTGTGCCTTTCTGGGTGCCAACAAATACGAAGTTTGAATATTTTTGGTTTAGTGTTCAAGGATTACAATAGGTTGAACTATAGTTAGTAATTTTGATTCATAGCTTCTCATAGAAACCAATCATGTAGATTATGTCTGGCATTAGATGAAGACCAACTTGCTGGTACTTATATCTATATTTCTTGTTAGTGTTTTTGAGATCGAGGATTGAAAAAGAACTGAAGAGGTTTATAACATGCATTTAGATTCAGGCTTCTTGAAGGCACATTCTTCCGCTCCCCTTATAGGAAGTGGTCCAAGCAGCGATTTTGTTGACTCTCCCACAGAACCAGGGGGATTAGGCAATTCAAGATCATGGTTCACATTTGAAGAACTGGCTCAGGCCACAAATGGCTTTTCAGATCAGAACCTTTTGGGTGAAGGAGGATTCGGTTCTGTATACAAAGGACTTCTACCGGATGGGAGAGAAATTGCAGTGAAACAACTAAAGATTGGTGGAGGCCAGGGTGAAAGAGAATTCAAAGCTGAAGTCGAGATTATTAGCCGCATACACCATCGTCATTTGGTTTCACTAGTTGGCTACTGCATTTCTGAGAATCGCAGGCTGCTTGTCTATGATTACGTCCCTAACAATACCCTTTATTACCATCTTCATGGTAAGGTTACAAGTGAGATTTGAAAAATGATTTTGTGAAAATAGATGACTTGGCTGAAGAATGACTATGTTATTTGGTGTGCTCCTCATGTTTTGTAGGGGAAGGTTGGCCGGTTTTGGACTGGGCAATACGAGTTAAAGTTGCAGCTGGTGCAGCTCGTGGAATCGCATATCTTCATGAAGACTGTAAGTTTTTGATGGATGGTTTTACTCAGGATTTTAGCACATTTTTTCCACCAAATACGGATCAACTGTTACCTTCATACTGTTAACATCCATATTGTAGTAAAGATAGTTTCACCAATCGTATGTTACTCATCTCCCATATATTAGCCAAGGTCTTAGGAGGGAATGAATGGTTCAGCACTTCAAACCTTTTGGTTGTTTAATTCAAACATTTTACCCATTTCGTTGTATGGATTGACCAGATACAGGCGGGTTAATCTTCAGAATTCAGAATCTAGCTTTGAGGATCATTCAAATTCCCAATAGTAGAAAGTAGAAACTTTGTTTAGATTAAGGTCCCCTTCCCGCCCCATGTCCATCCCTAGTTTAGAAGATAAAATTGGTGTTAATTTGAGCAAATTATGATACGGAGATCTCTGCCTTTGTGCTTATATAGTAGTAGAATCAAGCAAATGAGAATGGGATCCAATAGCCACTTTGTTTTAAACTGATTCAACGACTTTTTTTTTTTTGGCTTGGAATTTTTCATGTTAAACAGTATATTTATTTCCTGTTCTACATACCAGGTCATCCTCGGGTCATTCACAGGGATATCAAGTCATCAAACATTCTTTTAGATGACAATTTTGAAGCTCGGGTATCTAGAATGTTCTGAGTCATTTTTAACAGTACACTTTACTAATACATTTTACTAAACTGCTCTTTTTTCTTCATTTCCACTATTCAGGTTTCAGATTTTGGGCTAGCCAAATTGGCCCTTGATGCGGATACACATATAAGTACACGTGTTATGGGAACCTTTGGGTATGTCAAAATTCTCTCACTTTCATCAGATGATCACCAATGACTTATGATGAACCTTTTAAAGGCATTGTTCAAGTCTTGAAATTTTCCTATGTTACAAATTAGAAGTGACCTTTTCACTGTTGATTTCCAGATATGTGGCCCCCGAATATGCATCAAGTGGAAAGCTAACTGAGAAATCTGATGTGTACTCTTTTGGTGTTGTGCTTCTGGAGCTGATTACCGGACGGAAGCCTGTGGATGCATCCCAACCGTTGGGTGATGAGAGTCTAGTTGAATGGGTAACTTCTTGATGCTGGCTAGTGTTTACTCTTTTTTCCATTAAACATTAACTTCTGCAATTTTCTTTCAGTATTGGGTTTTGGTTCTACCCAAACAATCAATTGATGCCTCACAGCCGAATCTTTTGAATATACTTTTTGCTTCAATTATCTGGTGCTGTCTGTATAATGAATAGATAATGTGGTAGGACTTCTACTTGGGGATAAGGAGATAACTTTTGTTATACACAAAGTACCCGCTCCATGACCTTGTGAGTCTAGAACTGTAGGATCTAGAGAAATTTTGTGGAGTTTATGTTCCTACTTGTGTTTCTAAACTATACAAGGCAAAACTATGTTACTCTGTGTGAAAATCATATTTGCTGATGCAGAGGTATATACACATATATCTAATGCATAACATGATAAAAGGTTGTTCAATCAGTGAAAAAGCTAGGCACGGGACGAGCAGATTTGGGAAATACAGTCTATTATATTTCATACTTAAAATGTCAAACTTTCATGACAAAAGACTCGTAATTCATTTCAGGCTCGACCTTTGTTAAGTCATGCACTTGAGAATGGGGAATTTGATGGTCTGGTGGATCCAAGGCTTGAAAGGAACTACGTTGAGAGCGAAATGTTTCGGATGATCGAGATTGCTGCTTCCTGCGTGCGACATTCATCTGCCAAGCGGCCTCGGATGGGACAGGTAAACCAATTTGATCATGGTAAAACGCTTTAAAAGAAGTTTCTAAAGTACAAGAACATCTTTCTTAGCACACTTGCTTCTCAGGTCGTTAGAGCTTTTGATAGTTTAGCTGCCTCAGACATAACCAATGGAATGAGAGTTGGCGAGAGTGAGGTATTCAATTCAGCACAACAGTCCGAAGAAATAAGATGGTTTCGAAGAATGGCATTTGGCAGCCAAGATTACAGCACAGATTTTTTCAGCCAAGACAGCTTGAATAGTGGAGAAACCAGAGTAAATATTGCAGAGACTTGAATCCAAGGGGTCAATCACGTAGTTAAATTTAGCTTCCACATATAGATATAGAAATCAGATTTTTTGTCCTGTAATTAGTACAAACACAATGAGCATTTTTCATATCGGTCAATATCAATAGTGGTCATTACTTGTAATTCAATTTTGTTACATGAAATTCTATGTACAGAGGAGGCAAATACATGCTTCTGTTGATTTCTTCTTTGCTTTTCCAATAAGCCTTATTTCTTTCTCTCAATCTTTTTCTTTTTTAACTAGCGAGAGAAGTGATTATAGATTTTAGTGCCATAACAACTTGTTAAACTTGGTTAAAAAATAAAGGAAACCAAATAAATGAAGAAGAACATAAGCTATGGATTACGAACTGCGCAAAAAATTGAAGAGAAATGTGAACTGCTAGAAAGAGGTGTCTTTATGTTCAAAGAAAGTGTGAAGGCTGGCTCTAATTGGTTACATAAGATTTCAGTTATAACGGCTAGTTCAAGGCATGAGACTGTAGCTTGTGACTTAATTGGTCCACATGTGCGGTTCTTACTGGTCTAGATGTATCATATATAGACGTTGTATCAGCTCTAAACTGTAAGTTGTTTTTCCGTTGCATTTGTTTAGAGAGTGCTATGGTTTGAGAGATTGTAAAGAAAACAGAATCAAGTTTTCTGGGTTTTCCTATCGGGTGTGAGCTGTGTTTATTTCTCGAGAAAATTCCCTGTATTAAGAGGAAATCAAGTGCTAATCTCTGGTGAGCACTGAGGGTGTAATTACAACATTTGATTAGTGGATTAACCCTGACTTGGATGGTCCTTTTGAAAAATAGGCTTAAAATGTGTAATGTGTTTAATGAGTAGGCTCCAAAATAGAAAGTTTCAATGAGTAGGCCTCTCATTAAATAAAAAAATGTGTATTCTCTAAATGTCCTTCTCATTTTCTCTCAAATTAAAAGAAAAAACATTTGAAAAGGAGGAGCTAAATCCCCTCCTTCGCTGGGTAGTCACGAGGAAACGTTGCCGGCCAAAGTTCACCGGCGGCGCCGCCTTTCACTGCCGGAGAATGCCCCTACCTCTGGTATTCTCTCAAATCTTGTATTTTTTATGCTTAATTCATTGTTTGAATGCTGGGTAATCGTGGTTTGGTATTTTATTTGAAAAACCAACAAGAATCATGCTATTTCATGGCCTCTTCGGAGTTGAGTAATCTGCAAAATCGAAGAAACTCACGTCTGTCATTTCTTTCCGTTCTGACTGGTGGGAGCGGTAAGAAACCTGAGTCCGGTCAGAAAGTTCTTACTGGTGTGCCCTGTAAGAAAATTGCCAACCGGTCTTTCCAGTAAGAAAGATCTGATCGGGCATAATTTTGCCTCTCTTTAAGGTGACCCGTCGTTTTTCCCTCCCCATTTAAAGGATATTTTGGCCATTCACTCTTATCCCAGGAATAAAAAAAATAAAAATTAAAATTCTATTTATAACAGGTCTACCAATTGAATGGGTGTACATTTGGGGCATTGACTTAAAAAATCCGGTTGATTAATCCGAACCAAGCATAAGTCGCCTTGTGTTCTTTTTTTTTTTTCTTGTTTGTTTATTGGTCTTCGGTGATTGTTGGTTCAAAATCAGAGGAAAAATCCTAACAAATTGGTATCAGAGCCCCTTTCTTGGATCGATTCAAGAACTGGGCAAAGCTTCTGGAGACTTTGCTGCAAGATCGAATTCAATTTCTCATTAGAGATTCGGTTGAGAAGAAACCCTAATGGCCAAGAATTCGTCTTCCTTAACTTCGATGCCGACTTCAAGATTCGAGATGGAGAAGTTCGATGGGAAGAATGATTTCACCCTATGGAAAGAGAAGATGATGGCTCATCTCGGATGAGGCACTCAAGAGCAATCAAAGATGTTAGATTCCATAGAAAACAAAGGTGAGATACTGAAAAGGCTCGTAACACTATCATTTTGAGTCCTAGTGATCAGATCCTTAGGAAAGTGGTGAAAGAAAAATCTGCTTGTGAAATGTGGATCAAACTTGAGCAACTTTTCATGAAAAAAGCTCTGCCAAGTCGGATATACCTAAATAGAAATTCTATGGTTTTAAAATGGATGAATCTAAAACCATAGATGAGAATATTGACGAGTTTACCAAGTTACTCTCTAATTTAGAAAACATTGAGGTAATGATTGATGACTCTTAAATTCTTTACCAAAGCCATATGATCAATTGAGAGACACTCTCAAATATGGCACAGAGACTCTGACTCTCCATAAGGTACTCTAAAGACTTGGATTTGAGGGCAAATGGGAAACATCCTAGATCAAATGTTGAGGGCTTGAATGTTAGAGGAAGGTCTACTGAGAAAGGTGACAATTCCTACGAAGAGAAGAATAAAAACGGTTCAAAATCTGAGTCCAGAACTAGAAAAACTTGCTAGACTTGTAAGAACGAAGGACACTTTAGAAGAAACTGTCCTCAGAGAAAGAACCAAAATCAGAAGAATGAAGATCCTAAAGAGGAGTGGATCTTGGATTCTGGGTGCACTTTCATATGACACCCAGAAAGGATTGGCTCTTTGATTTTAAAGAAGTCAATGAAGGAAGAGTACTCATGGGCAGCAATGTTTCTTGTAAGGTCCTAAGAATTGGATCTGTATAGCTGAAGATGTGGAATGGATCAATCAAGATTCTACTAGAAGTTAAATATATTTCTGACTTAAAGAGAAATTTAATGTCTCTAGGAATGATGGATAAAAACGGATATTGCTACGAGGCTGAGAACGGTGTTCTGAAGGTGATAAGGGGGCTATGGTAGTCCTGAAAGGTAATCTGCATCAAGGGCTATATGTGCTGCAAGGATCCACTGTTACTGGTGAAGTTGCAGTCACAGAATCAAGGAGTGATCAGACACAGCTCTCGCATAAGAGGCTCAGACATATGAGTCTCGAAGGACTACAAGAGTTGGGCAAACAAGGATTGCCGGATCCCAAACAGATTGGTGACTTGGACTTTTGTGAGAACTGTATCTTAGGGAAGGCACACAGGCTGAGATTTACCGCTGCAGTACACAGAACTAAAGGCACCTTGGACTGCATTCACTCTGATTTATGGGGATCACCGAAGGTACCATTTTCTTTGTCCAAAGCTCAATATTTCATTACTTTTGTAGATGATTATTCTAGAAAAGTATGGGTCTATTTCTTGAAAACTAAAGATGAGGCTTTCAATAAGTTTGTAGAGTGGAAAACTTTGACTGACAATCAAACTGGAAAGAAAATAAAAAGGCTTAGGACTGATAATGGCTTAGAGTTTTGTAGCATTGAATTTGATGATTATTGTGCTATGGTTGGAATTTCTAGGCATCACACTTGTACCAACACACCACAACAAAATGGTTTAGCTGAGCGTATGAATAGAACCATTATGAATAAGGTAAGGTGTATGGTTAATGAATCTGGTTTGCCTGAAAAATTTTGGGCGGAAGCTGCTTCAACAGCTTGTTACTTAATAAATAGATCTCCTTCCGCTGCGATTGACATGAAAGTCCCTAATCAGATGTGGTCTGGTAATAAACCTGAGTGTAAGCATCTAAGGATCTTTGGTTGTTTAGCATATGTTCATGTTAGTCAAGGCAAATTGCATCCGAGAGCTAAAAATGTCATTTTCTTAGGTTATCCTTTTGGTGTTAAAGGGTACAGAGTATGGTTACTCGATGATAGAAAATGTGTTATTAGTAAGGATGTTATTTTTAATGAGAATATTGTGTATAAGACTAACAATATGCAGGGAATAGATATAGCCAGCTCTGAAAAACAGTCCCCTAAGACTCAGGTAGAAGTTCAAACAGAATTTCAGGACTCAAATCTAAGACCTATAGGAATTAATGATCAAGGTGGAGCATTGCTGCCTAGTCAGCATGACTAAGGATCTAGTTCACAACCTACGGACCAACAACCTGAAGAAGATATGACAGATTTGGATCAACATGAAGAGAATAATAAGGAAGATACTAAAGAATCACTGTAAGATTATGTTTTATCCAGAGATAGAGCAAGAAGAAGGATAAGGCCTCCCTCCATATTTGCAAGTGTTGATATTATAGCCTTCTCACTCAATGTAGCAGATGTCTTAGAACTGGACGAACCAACCAATTATGCAGAAGCCAAAAGGAGTAAAGCTTGGCCTAATTGGAAGAAAGCTATGAAAGAACAGATGCTGTCATTGACCAGAAATCAAACATGGAGACTAGTGGACAGGTCTAAAGATCAGAAAATGATAGGCTGGAAGTGGGTTGTTAAAAGAAAACCAGGGACTCCAGGGGTTGAAGAAGCAATGTTCAAGAAGATTGGTTGCCAAGGGCTTCTCACAAACCGAAGTAATAGATTACCATGAGGTATTTTCCCCGGTTTTGAAACATACGTCCATAAGGTTGATTTTGGCTCTCACTGCCATAAACAATCTTGAACTTGAGCAAATGGACATTAAGACCGCTTTTCTACATGGAAATTTAGAAGAAAAAATCCTGATGAACCAACCAGAAGGATTTGTCAAGCAAGATGCAGCAGGTAAAGTATGTATGCTTCAAAGGTCTCAATAAGGATTGAAGCAATATGATAGGCCACCGGTGCACTTGACCTACGTAAGGAGAAATAAAAGACAGGGGTAGAATAGGGATTTTACAGGAAGGGCTGTCTATTGCAAAATCAGGGGAATATATAGTTAGAAATAAAGAGAGGAGAGGAAAAAAGGGAAGAAAACTGTTGTGAGAAATTGGAGAGTTCAGGTCTCGAGAAAACCTGAGTTTAGGAGTTGTGTCCGGAAAGATTCTTGTTCCAATCTTCCGATTGTTGTGATCTCAAACTTCCGATTGTGATTCAATTTAGTAATTCGAGCTTAATAACATCTCTATTACTCATTTCCGTATCGATTCTGTATCAAATTGGTATCAGAGCGTCGATCTTGAGCGTTCTGTGATGGCAGCCAGGAAATTGGAGGAAAGACTCGGTACCGTGGAAGAACAGTTGAGTTCCGTTTGGGAGGGAATTGCGAAAGAGATGGAAGAAGTTAAGGATGATTTGCAAAAGATTCTTGCATTGGAGAAGAATGTGGCGTTGATTTTGGGGAAATTGGATTCGTTGTTGCAAAAACAGGGAGGAGAAGATTCAGAATATAGAGAGGCTAGGGCTGAGAATGGGAACGGAGGCGTACCGGCGTATGAGCATCGGGAAGGAGAATTCCGGCTAGGAGGGATGACGAGGCGAATCGAAATGCCGATTTTTGAAGGCACAAATCTAGATGGCTGGATTTTCGGGCGGAGAGATTTTTTGCCCTAAATCGCATGGGTGAAAAGGAGAAATTGGAGGCGGCGGCCATTAGTCTCGATGGCGAGGCTCTGGCTTGGTTTCAGTGGACGGACGGACGCCGGCCCATACGTGACTGGTTGGAATTCAAAAGGCTGTTACTCGACCGATTCCGACAGTCGCAGGAGGGGTCGAACTGCGAGAAGTTCCTTGCTCTTACGAGGGAACAGTGCGCGCGTATATAAGGGATTTCGAGATGCTAGCCGCACCTTTGACGGAGATTCCCACGGCGATCCTCGAAGGAAACTTCATCAACGGTCTTAAGCCGGAGATTAGGGCGGAAATCCGCCTGCTTCAACCGAGCGGGTTGAATCGCATCATCGAATTGGCGCAAAGAGTGGAGGATCGGAATTTTGCTTTGAGAGGAGCTAAAGGAACGACGTCCAACCCGTGGATGCGACAACAACCTTATAACCAGGCTTTTCGAAGCCAACCGACAAGCATCCTCAAATCTGCCTTGTCAAACGACAAGTTGTTTGGCCCTTCACAAAACGGTAAGTCGTTTCAGCCATCAGGAATGCAAAAAAATCTGTTAGGCGATTTTCTGAGGCCGAAATTCAGAACAGACGTGAAAAAGGCCTCTGTTTTAAATGTGATGAGAAATATTATTTTGGACATGTTTGTAAGAATAAGGAATTACAGATTTTAATTTTAGAAGAGGAAGAGGAAGTTAGTCAAACTGAACAGGAAGAAATTACAGTAGTCAATGAGGAGGAAATAGTTGAACTCTCCTTGAATTCAGTGGTGGGAATCACCACTCCAAAAACCATGAAAATACGGGGAGTAGTGGGGAATCAGGAGGTGGTTGTGCTTATCGATTCGGGAGCCACCCACAATTTTATGTCCATGGAATTGGTGAGGAGGTTAGACTTGCCATTAGTTACAACCCAAGAGTTTGGGGTGATTATGGGAACAGGAAAGGCTGTGAAGGGGAGTGGGATTTGTAGGGGATTGGTGTTGGGGTTGCAAGGGGTGGAGGTGGTTGAAGATTTTTTACCCCTTGAGCTTGGGAGTTCGGACGTCATATTAGGCTTGCAATGGTTGGGCTCCCTTGGCAAAATGACTGTTAATTGGCAGACATTAACAATGAAGTTTAAGGTGGGAGAGTCAACAGTGACGTTGCAGGGGGATTCAAGTCTTAGCAGGACCTTGGTTTCTTTAAAGTCGATGCTAAAGACAATCAAGAAGGCAGGAGAGGGGATCTTAGTGGAGCTGGGATGTGTACAGGTCGCAGGAGAGGGGAAGCAAACGGAAATTCCAGAGGAGATCTCTCAAGTGTTGCGGCAGTTTGCGACTGTTTTTGAGAAGCCGCAGGGATGACCACCGACTCGGGCTCGTGATCATGCGATCGTACTTCAGGAGGGCACGACTCCGATTAGGGTGCGGCCGTATCGCTATCCGCAGGTGCAGAAAGATGAGATTGAGCGCTTGGTTAACGAAATGTTACAAGCGGGTATCATTCAACCGAGTTCCAGCCCGTACTCGAGTCCGGTACTTTTGGTTAAGAAAAAAGACGGGAGCTGGCATTTTTGTGTAGATTATAGGGCCTTGAATTGCGCTACTGTCCCTGACCGCTTCCCTATTCCGGTAATCGATGAACTGTTGGATGAGTTGCATGGGGCAAAGATCTTTTCCAAGTTGGATCTTCGTTCGGGGTATCACCAAATTCGGGTGCGTGCCGAGGATATACCGAAAACAGCGTTTAGAACCCACGAAGGGCACTATGAATTTTTGGTGATGCCGTTTGGGTTGACAAACGCGCCGGCCACTTTTCAGGCCTTAATGAATGAGGTGTTTAAGTGTTTCCTAAAGAAGTTTGTGTTGGTGTTTTTTGATGATATCTTGATTTATAGTGCGACGGTGGGAGAGCACGTGGAACACTTGTTTTGGGTTTTTGAGTTACTGAGGCAGCATAGTTTGAGAGTTAATGATAAAAAGTGCTGTTTTGGCCAACCTTCATTGGAGTATCTCGGGCATATTATTTCAGCTGAGGGGGTGGCAGCTGATGAGAGGAAGATCGAGGCTATGCTAAATTGGCCAGCCCCCAAGACACTGCGGGAGTTGAGGGGTTTCTTGGGTCTTACGGGATATTATCGTAAGTTTGTCAAGAATTATGGGACGGTGGCTGGCCCTTTGACTACGCAACTCAAGAAGGATCTGTTTGGCTGGAATCAAGAGGCCGAGGAGTCATTTGTGGCATTGAAGAAGGCCATGACTACGGTTCCGGTGTTGGCTTTACCGGATTTTTCTCAGCCATTTGTGGTTGAGACGGATGCCTTTGGCTATGGACTAGGGGCTGTGTTGATGCAAAATGGTCGTCCGATTGCCTTTTACAGCCATGTTTTGTCCCCTCGAGGCAGGGCACGTTCCATTTACGAGCGTGAGTTGATGGCAATCGTCTTGGCCGTGCAGAAATGGCGACCATATTTGCTTGGAAGACGTTTTATCGTTCGCACCGACCAACAGAGCTTGAAGTTTCTATTAGAGCAGCGACTAATTAGTACTGAGCACCAAAAGTGGGTTACTAAATTGTTAGGGTATGACTTTGACATCCAATACAGGCCCGGCATAGAGAATAAGGCTGCTGAAGCGCTTTCTCGGGTGGAAGGGGTGCCCTCGTTATGCACACTATCGTTTGTACACGATTTGGATTATGGCGTGATACAGCAACAGGTGTTGTCGGATTCCCGTCTAATGGGCGTTTATCAGGCTTTGTTGCAGGGAGACACCAGCTATCCGGGTTTTTCGTTGGACCAGGGTCGGCTTTTGTACAAGAGTCGGCTAGTCTTGGCTAAATCTTCCCCGTTGGTGGCTGCCCTATTACAGGAGGCGCATGATGGCCCGGTTGGTGGGCACTCGGGGGTGTTCAAAACTTACCGTCGCTTAGCTTCTTCTTGGTATTGGGTAGGCATGTTCAAGGAAGTTAAGGAGTACGTCGGCCGCTGTAGGGTTTGTCAACGCAACAAGCATTCCAATTTGTTACCCGCGGGGCTTTTACAACCTCTCCCAATTCCGGATCAGATTTGGGAGGATTTGTCCATGGATTTCATTGAAGGTCTTCCTAAGTCCGAAGGCTATGACACTATATTGGTCGTGGTGGATAGATTGAGTAAGTATGCACATTTTGTGGCACTTCGTCATCCTTTTACTGCTCCGGTGGTGGCTCATTTATTCATGAGGGAGGTGGTTCGCTTGCATGGGGTTCCCCGCTCCATTGTTTCGGACCGCGATAAGGTGTTCTTAAGCTCTGGACTGAGTTGTTTCGTCTCCAAGGGACGTCACTCAAGCGTAGTACGGCGTATCACCCTCAAACAGACGGACAGTCGGAGGTGGTCAACCGTTGTGTTGAGACATATTTACGCTGTTTCGCATCTGATAGACCTCATCAATGGATGCGTTGGTTGGCTTGGGCGGAGTATTGGTATAATACATCATACCATTCGGCAGCTAAGGTTACACCCTTTCGGGTAGTGTATGGCCGCGACCCTCCACCCTTGATCCGTTTTGGGTCTGGCAAGACAACGGTAGCATCGCTTGAACGTCAGTTGGAGGACAGAGACGTGGCTCTCGATGAACTAAAGTTACACCTGCTGCGGGCACAGGACAAGATGAAGGGGGTGGCCGATGGCAAGAGGCGGGATGTCGAGTTTTTGGTGGGAGATTTGGTGTTTCTCAAGCTGCGTCCTTATCGGCAACTGTCATTGTCTCGTCGCAGGAATGAGAAGCTGTCACCCCGTTTCTTTGGCCCTTATGAGGTGGCACAACGAATTGGTAAGGTGGCTTACCGTTTGCGGCTTCCTGAGTCCGCTCGCATTCATCCGGTTTTCCATGTGTCCCAACTCAAGCGTTGCTTGGGATCGGCTGAGGCTTCTCAGGAGCTACCCGCTCAGCTTACCGCGGACATGGAGATGCTGATGGAGCCGGCAGCGCTTTTGGGTGTTCGCCAGCCTAGTGAGGGCAGTGGGAGTGAGGTGGAGGTGTTGATCCACTGGCAGGGGATGCCTGCTTTTGATGCGACTTAGGAGTCGTTTTCCACTATCCAACACCATTTTCCTTCCTTTCACCTTGAGGACAAGGTGCAGGTTTGGGCGGCGGGTAATGATAGGCCACCGGTGCACTTGACCTACGTAAGGAGAAATAAAAGACAGGGGTAGAATGGGGATTTTACAGGAAGGGCTGTCTATTGCAAAATCAGGGGAATATATAGTTAGAAATAAAGAGAGGAGAGGAAAAAAGGGAAGAAAACTGTTGTGAGAAATTGGAGAGTTCAGGTCTCTCGAAAACCTGAGTTTAGGAGTTGTGTCCGGAAAGATTCTTGTTCCAATCTTCCGATTGTTGCGATCTCAAACTTCCGATTGTGATTCAATTCAGTAATTCGAGCTTAATAACATCTCTATTACTCATTTCCGTATCGATTCTGTATCACAATACCTCGTCAATGGTATAAAAGATTCGATGAGTTCATGCTGAAGAGAGATTTCTGCAGATCTAAATATGATAGTTGTATGTATTTTGCAAGGCTCAAGGAAAACAGCCTAATATATCTCCTAATCTATGTGGATGATATGTTAATTGCTTGCAAACACAAAGCTGAAATTCTGAAGCTTAAAGATGCTTAAGTTCAGAATTTGAAATGAAAGATCTAGGTAATACCAAACGGATTCTTGGGATGGATATATCTAGAGACAGGAATAAAGGTGTTTTAACACTTTTTCAAGAAGGATATCTGAAAAAGATTGTGGATATTTTTCGCATGAATCAAGCAAAGTTAGTCTCAACTCCCATTGGCGCTCATTTCAAGCTAATGTTTTTCAGTAAGGATGAGGAAAAACAGGAAGCGTCATACATGAGAGGTGTGCCTTATTCAAATGCAGTGGGAAGCATCATGTATGCTATGGTTTCAACAAGGCCAGATTTAGCTTATGGAGTTGGGTTGGTGAGCAGATTCATGAGTAAACCTGGTAGAGTGCATTGGTAGGCTGTTAAATGGTTACTCAGATATTTGAAGGAAACTTCAGAGTTAAAATGAGTTGCACAAGAAATGGTCAGTTGACCAGAGATGTTGTTGGCTATTGTGACTCGGATTATGCAGGGGATTTGGATAAAAGAAGATCGATGTCTGGTTTTGTTTTTACACTAAGAGGAAATGTAATTAGCTGGAAGTCCAGTTTGCAGGGAGTTGTGGCCTTATCAACTGCAGAGGTAGAGTATATGGATGTGGCAGAAGCAATAAAGGAAGCATTGTGGCTGAAAGGATTAGCAGAGGAACTGGGTTTCGAGCAGAGACAAGTGGTGGTTTACTGTGATTCACAAAGTGCCATACACTTGACTAAGAATACAGTATTCCATGAGAGTTCAAAGCATATTGATGTTCGTTTGCATTTCATTAGAGATATAATATCTAAGGGAGAAGTTACAGAGTCAAAGATAGCCACTGAAGTAAATCCAGCAGACATTTTGACTAAGGTGATTCCACTTAGCAAGTTCAAGGAAGCTTTGGGCTTGCTAAAGATTAAGGAGTAACAGTTGCTGTTGATAGGGTTCTAGTATGATTCACTAATGAAAGACCAATCTAGAACTAAGGTGGAGAATTGTGAAGGCTGGCTCTAATTGTTTACATTAGATTTCAGCTATAACGGCTAGTTCAAGGCATGAGACTGCAGCTTGTGACTTGACTTAATTAGTCCACATGTGCGGTTCGTTCTTACTGGTGTAGATGTATTATATATAGATGTTGTATCAACTCTAAATTGTAAGTTGTTTTTCCGTTGCATTTGTTTAGAGAGTGCTCTGGGTTGAGAGATTGTAGAGAATACATAATTAAGTTTTCTGGGTTTTCCTACTGGGTGCGAGGCTGTGTTTGTTTCTCGAGAAAATTCCCTGTATTGAGTGGAAATCAAGTGCTAATCTCTGGTGAGCACTGAGGATGTAATTACAACATCTGATTAGTGGATCAACTAGGGTTAAACCCTGACTTGGATGTAGGATTGATTAATCCGAACTAAGTATAAATCGCCTTGTGTTCTTTGTTTTTCTTGTTCGTTTATTGGTTTTCTGTGATTGTAGGTTCAAAATCAGAGGAGAAATCCTAACAGAAAGGAAAACTTTACGGTGCATTCCCATTTGTGGCCCACCGGTGGAGCAAGCGTTTTCGACTGCTAGATTAAAATTTTAATGGTTAAATTTGTACAATTCGTATAAAAAATTTACAAAACATCACATAGAACTGTTCATAGTGTAGATATGACCGTTGAACAATTAATTTAACGGTAAAACACTTGTTTTACCGGTGGGTCACAATTTTAAAATGTATTGTAAAGAAAATCACACAAAAAAGATAAACTATATACATTATTAAAAATTTTATGATGAATGCATAGTCTAGCTTTGTAATTATCTATAAAACCGAAATTATTGTTGTCTCAATTTTTGCCCTCGTAAAAGGCTATATTTAGCTTTATTATGGATTATAAAACTTGTTTTTATTTATTTATTTATTTTTATGATGTGTATTACTTTCCTGTCGTTTTTATCTTGAGATCAGATCAGAAGCTCTCAGCTAGCTAGTCAAAAGCCAATTTATATATAATTGGCCACGTCCACGCGGTCAGATGATATACTTTTGTATGGTTTTACCTCATAATCACCGTCCACTGTACATACGCGTTTTAGTCTCTCTCTAAAATGGGTCAAGTTTGTTTAATTTTTGTTTCCTCGTAAAAATATGTCGGTGATATCTTCACGCCCCCATTCAGTTTCTTAGGAGGAATCTTCTGAAATCACAAGTGGAGACCAAAGAGAATCGATCTTTAATTGACGGAGAGAGTCGTAATAAGTCATCCTCTTATCCCCGTGCCACCACCAGTGTTGGGTGGCTTTAATGAATATGAAAATTATTTTTCAACAAGAAAAGAAAAGAAAAAAGAAAAAAAAAAAAAAATATATATATATATATATATATATAGAGGATATATATATATTTGAGGCACACCACAACAGAAGATGAATCCCACCTCTAGACACCATGTTACGGGATTAAGTTTTTATTAATGTGATGAAGAACCAGTGCCTTATAGAATTCTTTAAAAAAAAAAAATTAAAATAAAAAAAAATTAGTGCATTGGATAGAGTCTATGTGTCTACTAGTCATCACCACAGATTCAGCGATCATTCACTGTTGAATACCAATAATCTTAATGATATAACAGTATCATTTATCTAATCCAGCGACTTAATAGTTGCTTATCCTTTTGAAATACGTTGTACTCAATACTAAAACAAAATCATATTCCAAGATCTTATTAAGAAAACAAATATGTTGGGGCATTACCAAATTGAGCCCTACATATATATTGGCAAGATGCTGAAGAAAGCTATTTTGGTGAAGCAAAAAAGAAAAGGAGAAAAAAGAAAAAAGGAAAAAAAAAAGTTATAATTAATTCAATTTCTCTTCTCACAAGGAATGGTACCTGCCGAAGTTGGTGTTAGCTTTCGTAAGCACAAATAACAAAATTTTACTTTTAAGATAGGAAAGGAATAAAAGAGAAAATTTCTGTCTTTGACAAATTAATTGAAAGTTAAAAGTACCTGAAAAAAAATACAAGAGTTCTTCAATAAGGAATGAAAAAATAACTTTACTATTAATAAGACATTGTTTTAAATATTCGTCACATCTTTATTATATTTTATCACTTTAAGTTATAGATTATTTATCTCATCTTAACATTATTTTGATCATCAAGTATAACGCGAAGACATATTAGTACAGGTAAGGATGTTCTATCGTAGAAAGCTCTGAACAAAAAAGAGAGTTTAAACGTCGCTTATAACAAAGAGTTGGGTGGGTTTGGAAGTTATTGTGCCTAACTAGGTCTAACTTTAACTTGCATATATGTCTACATATTGAGTAGTGAGACCAAAGTTTCTTTCAAAAGACACATCCCATAATACAAAAGGAAAGACTTACAATCAACCAAGAAATTATCTCTCGCCGAAAAGTAGAGCCCAAGAAAGATAACTATGACAACTAATCATCAATAATAGTTTTCTTCACTTGCAATATTATTATATTTGATAACCTCTATTTAGACGCTATAGTACTTACATTTCAACAAGCCAATGACTCAAATTATTCTTTTTGCTTCACCTTTGCTAGCACACTTACTATCCGACAAAGAAGAAACTTATTCATTCCTCAACAATATCACATGGCTTATTTTAACTTCGTATATATCTTCTTCTTCTTCTTCTTCGCCTTCTCTAAAATCTTATGGCCATGGAAGACGGCAACGCACTTGCCGCGGATTGCATCGTCATATCAAGCTGTTGCCAGTGCTTGATCCTTCAAATCATCGTCTTCGTCTTGCTCAAAATTCCTTACAAGTTGATCCGAAAGACGAGGGACTTCGCGAAGAAGAAGCTTCAACGGAGGAAGAGAAGAGGGAAGATGGTGATCAATATGGTGGGAAAATACAAAAATGAATTAGTGGGTATTGTTGGAGAATCTCTAAAAATTCAAGCTACTTCGGGTAGGGTTTCTGCAGACGAAAAGAAAAGTGACTGTGGGTGTTGTATGAAGGAAGTTGAGAAGGTAATGGAAGAGCTGTCTCAGAAGGGAGAATTTTCTTTTGGAAGTTTTTGGTGCAAGGAAGAAGAATCAGCTGAAATTTTCCCAGCATCATGTGTTCAAAAGCATGAATCAGATGATGGTTTTGTACGTTATCAATTAATAAAGATGGTTGGCTCTATTAGTTGTTCATAGCTTTTGTTATGACCAAGTTTTTTTAAATTTTTTTCTTCTCCTTTTTCTTTTGGATGATTAATATTATGGTCATCTTGATATATGGGTACAATATCTGGCTTTCGTTTGGCCAGAACAATGTTGATTGAAGTGCAGCATGTTGGTCTTCTTCACTCTTTTTTTTTTCTTCCTTGAAAGTTAGGTGTTAGTTATTATACAACATTTAGGTTTCAGAAAAGAAAAATCTGCCAAAAAAAGTTTCAGTGTCTTATTTTGCATGGTAATGATCACCATGTAAAATAAGTTAATTTAAAAAAAAAAAAAGGGTGCAGAAAGTTGCCTAATGGAGGCCTCATAAAAGGGTCCATAGCATCTCTTTTATTCTTAAGAAATGGTCACAAAGTGCACTTGTCACAAGGAGTTGTGTACCATCATTTGTCAGAACATTGTATAGGGACATTATAGTATAAGATTTTGGGCTCAGAAATGTGTATAAGTTATGGATAATACAATTTCATTAATAGATGATAGTGATGGTGCCTTGAATAAAAACGTGGTCTTATGGCCCACAGAAAATAGCTATTATAGTATAGATAGTTGTTATACATTTTTCTAAGCAGTCTACCCCGCTGCCGTATAAATAATTATTCAAGGGGGAAAAAAAAACTGAAATTATAAACAAAAGTGATGTCCATACATATATACTATAGTCACTATATTTCCGTTATTTGATTAACAATAAAAATAACTACCTCCGAATGATTGAACGATTATCGCCAACCAATCACAATAAATGTGCATCATTTTTTATAAAACCAAAGGTCAATTTCATTATATATTAAGTAAACACAGAAACTCCAGCAGTCCAGCTAAACAAACCTTTGACCTCAGAAATCCAGAGTCTAACCTATAAATTCGAATTTAGCCAGAAACTAATTAGTAAAAAAGATCAGATCTCCACTTTGCATTACTATTCTTTTTGAGACATATCAAACTGGAATAGTCAATTCTAAATTTAACCTGTACAGAAGAAACAAACAATAAAACTCTTTTTTTTTCCGGTTCACTTTTCAAATTGATCAAAGTCATTAAAAAAATAAAATAAAAAAAACTACTCATGCAAAGAGATCAAAAGAAAAAGAAAAAGACGAGTGCTACAAGTTTTGAACTATTCCAATATGGAGATAGAATGCGGTGTAGAAAGATGTCACTACAAGAATAATCACTTTAAGAGACTAAATTTTTTATAGTAGAAAATACACTTTTTGCTACCAAACTTTGATAGTTGAAATTATTACGGCTTTAGTTACCAAATTTGATAGCAAAAACAACACAATCCGTACCAAATATAATTTGGTAACAAATACCATGGCGGGAAATAAAATTTAGTTTCCGCCAATAGTTTTTTGTACCAAAATAATATTTGGTAATAAAAGCATAAGATTCAGCCACCAAAATTTGGTAGTAAAATATTACTTTTTTGCTACCAAACATGTTTTGGTAACAAAAAGTTGGCAGGAAGTAAAATTTTTTTCCGCCCAAAGTATTTGTTACTGAATTATTTTTGATAGCAAAACATATAACATTTGCTACCAATAGACATGTTTTGGTAAACAAAAGTGAATGTCAATACATATATACTATAGTCACTATATTTCCGTTATTTGATTAACAATAAAAATAGCTACCTCCGAATGATTGAACGATTATCGCCAGCCAATCACAATAAATGTGCATAATTTTTTATAAAACCAAAGGTCAATTTCATTATATATTAAGTAAACACAGAAACTCCAGCAGTCCAGCTAAACATACCTTTGACCTCAGAAATCCAGAGTCTAAACTATAAATTCGAATTTAGCCAGAAACTAATTAGTAAAAAGGATCAGATCTCCACTTTGCATTACTATTCTTATTGAGACATATCAAACTGGAATAGTCAATTCTAAATTTAACCTGTACAGAAGAAACAAACAATAAAAAAAAAAAAAACTTTTTTTTTCCAGTTCACTTTTCAAATTGTTCAAGTCATTAAAAAAAAAAAAAAAAAAAACTACTCATGCAAAGAGATCAAAAGAAAAAGAAAAAGACGAGTGCTACAAGTTTTGAACTATTTCAAAACGGAGATAGAATGCGGTGTAGAAAGATCTCACTACAAGAATAATCACTTAAAAAGACTAAATTTTTTATAGCAGTTTTTGCTATCAAACTTTGGTAGTTGAAATTATCAAGGCTTTAGTTACCAAATTTGATAGCAAAAACAATGCAATCTGTTACCGAATATAATTTGGTAACAAATAACATGGCGAGAAATGAAATTTGGTTCCCGCTAATAGTTTTTTGCTACCGAAATAATATTTGGTAACAAAAGCATAAGATTCTGCCACCAAAATTTGGTAGCAAAATATTACTTTTTACTACCAAATATGTTTTGGTAACAAAAAGTTGGCAGGAAGTAAAATTTTTTTCCGCCCAAGATATTTGCTACCAAATTATTTTTGGTAGCAAAACATATAACATTTGCTACCAAGTGTTGGAAGAAAAATATTACTATTTGCCACCAAAATTTGGTAGCAGAAAATCAAGTTTTTGCTACCAAAAAACATAATTTTTTGCTACCAAATTTTGGTAGCAGAAAATAAGAATTTACTACCAAATTCATATTTTGGTTGCAAAAATATGTTTTTTGCTACCAAAAGTTGTGTTTGGTAGCAAATCATATAAAAACTTTAAAATTTATATTTTGTGCTTGTATTGTTTTTTTTTTTTTTTTTTTTAGTTTTCCATGAATATGTCCCATATTGAGTTTTAACAATCATCTTAGTATATTTTGTATAACAATTATTTGATAATTTAGTTATTTTGTGTAGGTGTAACAAGAGACATGTTCATGTGTATACATATGTGATCTTGTTAATTAAGTGTATGTTCCACATATAGTAGTATATAATCTCGCTATTTGATTGATTTTAACTTTGACTAATGTATTTCAATTTCAAAACTATATTTTTTGTTATAATGTTATTATAACAATGATTCTAAAATAATTTTTGTCATTAAAATGTTATTTTTTAATTTTTGATATACGTCTTTCTAGTACCAAATTCAAATTTGGTAGCAAAAAATATGTTTTCAACTACCAAACTAATGTTTGGTAATAAAAAATATAAGTTTTTGGTACCAAATTTTGGTAGCAGAAAACATGATTATGCTACCAAATTCATATTTTGGTGACAAAAAGGCGTTTTTTACTACCAAAAGTTGTGTTTGGTAGTAAATCATATAAAAACTTCAAAACTTACGTTTTGTGCATGTATTGTTTTTTCTTTCATAAATATGTCCTATATCAAGTTTTGACAATCATCCTAGTATATTTTGTATAACAATTATTTAATAATTTAGTTATGTTGTGTAGATGTAACAAAAGACATTTTCATGTTATATATATATATATATATGATCTTGTTAATTAAGTATATGTTCCACATAAAGTAGTATATGATCTTACTATTTGATTGCTTTTTTAACATAGAATAATGTATTTCAACTTCAACACTATATTTTTTTTATAATGTTACGAAAACAATGAGTCTAAAATAATTTTTATCATCAAAATGTATTTTTTTAATTATTTAATATGTCTTTTTGCTACCAAATTAAAATTTAATAAGAAAAAATATGCCTTCAGCTACTAAAATAATGTTTAGTAATGAAAAACATAAATATTTGCTACTAAATATTTGGTAAAAAAAAAAAGAACAAAATTTTTATAGAAAAACATTTTAATCTACGCTCCCTAAAAATTCCAAACACACACCACCGCCAAATATTCTCATTTTTTATGTCTTCTCTCATTTCAACATTTCAAGTTTGCCTTTCTAGGTCTTCTCTCTCATTTTTTCAACCCAGACGGCGCTTCTGATGTAACAAAATGATCTAATGGCTCGCGTTCAACAACTGGAAGCAAAATTTCCTCCCATTGAGAAGGCCCTCTTGCCCCAAACTAATCTTTCTTCATTTTTCTACAATGCAGGTTAGATTATATGGTGCGTGTTTCGTTTATATATGGATAGTTAAAATGGCTATTGACATTTTGTCATAAATTATAAGGCTGAGTGGTTTATCTTAGGGTAGTATGTACACTGTTGATGTATTACTAATAGTGATAAAACAGATGCAATTCTGATTTTTTTTTTTTCATTTTTTCATTAATTTCTATGTTACAACACATGTCTTGGACCATAATTTTAGGCCTAGAAGAGTCTCTTTGAGATAGTCTTACAGTTATTTTTGAGGTTTTCTATTTATCTTTTCTGTAATTAAGAATCTAACTTGTGGGAGCCTAAGAATGCATGTAGTACAAACGGCATTTCTAGCACAGTCTAATGCAAAAAAAAAAAAAAGAAGAATAATCTCTTCTTCTCCAAGTAATTGTTGTACTAAGATGATGATCAAAGATAGTAATTGTAAACTGTTTTGTGATGGTTAGCATGAAGAGAACAAATTTTATATGATCATTCTGGCATTTGGCATTTTTCATTGGATGAGGCAAATTTGTAAAATATATATTAGAAAAAGATCGGCAAATGTATGAAATTTTAGTTATTTACTGCATCCAGAAGCTAGTCTAACATTTTGTGTACATAGTTCATGATGTTTTTGTCTTGAAAGTATTTATTTATTTTGCTTATACTACTTAAAAAAGAGTTGAAGCAGTTTGTGATAGATGGGAACAGGGTTGTATTGAGTGTATCCAATCCAGATACAAGAGTTGATGATGCGGAATTCGAAGAGAATGAAGTCTATGCAATTGATATTGTCACAAGCACGGGTGATGGAAAGGTAATCCGTTGTTCAGGAGTTATGATGAATTGAAGATATCATCCTTCTGCAACAATATCTGACTGCTTGCAAAAAATTTTATGTCAAACTTGCAGCCTAAGCTGTTGGATGAAAAGCAAACAACTATCTACAAGAGAGCCGAGGACAATAACTATCACCTGAAGATGAAAGCTTCGAGG